TATATGACTGCCCAAATCATCACTTGGTATCCAGTTTTGCCCTTCTCTGATGATATCCTTTTATCCCCGCCCCCTGCATTCGTCACATGACTGTCTCCTTTTAACTGCACACATTGATTCCTCAGATTATATGTAATTTTGCCCCCCGAAATATAATCCTGACAATCTCGAACGTTTCATTATAGGTAGATCATTTAAAACACTACAGGGCAGCAAACAACTTTAACAGTGCCACAGTTGTGTGCGAGGTCTGACAAGAATATAACCAACTAAAAAATCAAAGCGAAAAAAGCGAAAAGAAGATGGGAGCCATGGGAATGGAAACGATGCAAAGTCAGGGTGCCCTCACTTGACAGCAAATAAAGTCACTATGATTTCACCTATATTATCAAATATAACAGATCCCAATATCAACCCTATGGAGAAGAGAACGTGTACAAACCCTATGGAGAAAAGAACGTGTACAAACCCTATGGAGAAAAGAACGTGTACAAACCCTATGGAGAAAAGAACGTGTACAAACCCTATGGAGAAAAGAACGTGTACAAACCCTATGGAGAAAAGAACGTGTACAAACCCTATGGAGAAAAGAACGTGTACAAACCCTATGGACAAAAAATGCACCTTTAATGTTACGTAACTTGACACTTGATGACGTCATGATTACGAATTTCTTCGAGGACCATCTGTGGATGGTGGTCTAAGTGTGTGTCAAGTCTGAGGTTTATGCAATTTAAGAAAGTGCCAAAGTGCCCTTGCAGAAGAAAAAACGTGTACAAACCCTATGGAGAAGAGTCTGAAAGAGAAAAAAAAAAAAAAAAAAAAAAAAAGAAAAAAAAAAACTTTAACGAAAACAAGAGCTGTTTCGGTTGTAACCGAAACAGCTAAAAAGGAAAAAAAATCTTAACGAAAACAAGAGCTGTTTCGGTGTGTCACCGAAACAGCTAAAAAAATCTTAACGAAAACAAGAGCTGTTTCGGTGTGTACACCGAAACAGCTAAAAAAATCTTAACGAAAACAAGAGCTGTTTCGGTGGGTCACCGAAACAGCTAACAAAAAAAAGAAAAAAAAAAAAGAAAAAAAAAAATCTTAACGAAAACAAGAGCTGTTTCGGTGTGTAACCGAAACAGCTAAAAACTAGAGATCTATGTCTGTTTGCAACAGAACATAGGGCTTTTCCGCATTATGATTTTTTTTATCAATAATACGCCCTGACTATACATGAACATAAAATCTGTCAAAGTTAGCCGAAAATCGGCTAAAACGGTCACTGTGGACAGGATTTGACCTCAGCAATACGTGCGCCGCGGGCGGACTGACATACGCGATGTACAACGTACGCGCATGTACATGTACATTGTGGACGTCCAATGCATGTTTTAAAGCAGAGGTATTGTCAACCTGAGTTTTAAGCGTGCGCAGGGCATGTCCGAGTTCGCTTATCGCCTCGAAACTTTGAAATGTTTTAGACCTACCCTTAAATCGACAAATAAAGTAAAAACTAATATAAAAACTGCCATGGTTGATTTTTCGGGAATGTTCGAATGAAAAAGAGTCTTTTTATTATAACTTCCGGTCTGATGACGTCATTCGCCTTAAACTTCGCACACGTCTTAAGTGGGTCAAGGTCATTATATACACTAATATTTAGGCGATTCCAACAACCTTCGCCACAGACATCTATTCAAAATACATTTTTAAAAAAATTCAACCTGTCGCTAGAGGGCGCTCGAAGATTGCATGACGTCATCGATAGATGATTTGAAGAATACTATCAGCCAAGTGACTAACACCGTTAAAAGCAAGTTCATATCTATTACCGCTTTTAAAAAATAAGCCACTTCCGGTTTTGGCCTTTTTCGACCGGAAGCAAGGGTCACGTGATTTCACTCACACTCAATGAAATAAAGATCTGAACATACTCTACCACTTGCTGGCAACAGAATGCTGCAGACGCGTACGGTTGATTTCTTATGCATTTTTAAATATTAAAAGTGTCACAACTGAATTGCCTATAAATAAACACCGGATGACGTCATCATGACGTCATCATTACACAATGTTGTTTGAATTAGGGTCTTTGCTTGGACAAAGAGTGATCTAAATGAATTACTCGCAAACAGTCGAAAATGCCCTTTGAAAATCGACAATTGTTTCTTAATTTTTGTGTACAAAGTCTATGGGAAAAATTAAATATTCAAAAATCTATTATAAATTAGTCGATGACGTCACCATAACGTCACTCTTCGGGGCACATCTCTGCTATAAGGAGTATGACTATGCTTAATTTGAATGATGTATGACAAAGATTAATACCAAAAGTGGCACTGAGAAAAAACGTGTACAAAGTCTATGGGATTTAGGCGACAAAAAGAAGAAGAAGAAGAAGAAGAAAGAAAAACTAGAGGTCTATGTCTGTTTGCAACAGAACATAGGGCTTTTCCGCATTATGTTTTTTTTTCAAATTGAGGTCATGTTTTTTTTATTTTGTGCAAAACTGTGCGCATTTACGTTTTGTCTAACAAACCTCATTCAAATGGAAATTTGATTTTGGCATATTGCATTTGTCATATATAAAATATATATATATAATCACAAGATGACGTCATTATGACGTCAGCTCAATATTTATTTGTAACACATCCCGGCCTGCCCCCATACCAAGTTTCAACCCAATCTAAATCACTGTTGATGAGATATAGGGGCTTAAAATATACAAACGATGACGTCACATGTCTAATGAATACGTCATTGTAACAATATTCGGCAGTGCTCATTATTTTATTACGGTTTTAGTCTGTACAAAGTTTGAAAACAATCGGATTAATGAAAGTGTTAAATTTTGTAAGCAGATATTGTGTACTAGTGTTATTATCTACCCACCCACCAAGTTTCATGACGATTGGAAATTATCTTATATGTGTTTCAAAAAAGCGCATGTTTGATGACGTCATCATGACGTCAAACATTTTTCAAAATTGTGTACATATACCTATTGCCTAACAAACATAATACAAAAAGAATTTTAAATGTAACATATTGGGTTCGTGATATATGGCTTAAAGGTCCAAAACTTCAGAAATCTATATAAAATCACACGATGACGTCATGATGACGTCACCTCAATATTTATTTGTAACACATCCCGGCCTACCCCCATACCAAGTTTCAACCCAATCGGATGTACTGTTCATGAGCTATAGGGGCTTAAAATATACAAGTTAACAATGACGTCACGTGTCTAATGATGACGTCATCGTAACAATACTTGGCAGTGCTCATTATTTTTTTGTGGTTTTAGTCTGTACCAAGTTTGAAAACAATCGGATTAATGAAAGTGTTAAACTTTGTAAGAAGAATAAAATTGGCAATATTGAAAGAAATCGTAAAAAAATCTACCGATGACGTCATCGTGACGTCATTTAAGCTGTTATGTACTAGTGTTATTATCTACCCACCCACCAAGTTTCATGACGATCGGACATTATCTTATATGTGTTTCAAAAATGCGCAAGTTTGATGAAGTCATCATGACGTCACACATTTTTCAAAATTTTGTACATATACCTATTGCCTAACAAACCTAATACAAAAAGAATTTTAAATTTAGCATATTGGGTTCGTGATATATGGCTTAAAGGTCAAAAACTTCAGAAATCTATATAAAATCACACGATGACGTCATGATGACGTCACCTCAATATTTATTTGTAACACATCCCGGCTTACCCCCATACCAAGTTTCAACCCAATCTGACGTACTGTTCATGAGATATAGGGGCTTAAAATATACAATTTAACAATGACGTCACATGTCAAATGATGACGTCATCGTAACAATACTTGGCAGTGCTCATTATTTTATAGTGGTTCTAGTCTGTACCAAGTTTGAAAAAAATCGGATTAATAAAAGTATTAAATTTTGTAAGCAGAATAAAATTGGCAATATTAAAAAAATCTTTAAAAATCGACCGATGACGTCATCGTGACGTCATTCAAGATTGTGTGTACTAGTGTTATTATCTACCCACCCACCAAGTTTCAAGACGATCGGACATTCCCTTATATGTGTTTCAAAAAATCGCACTTTTGCTGACGTCATTATGACGTCACACATTTTTCCAAAATTTGTGCATATATCTATTGCCCAGCGAACCTAATACAAAAAGAATTTTGAATTTATCATATTGTGTTAGTGAGATATGGCTTAAAGGTCCAAAACTTCAGAAATCTATATAAAATTACACGATGACGTCATGATGACGTCACCTCAATTTTCGTCTATAACACATCCCGGTCTGCCTACATACCGAATTTCAACCCAATCGGACTGACAGTTCTATAGATGTAGGACTTTGTAATATGCACATGCATGATGACGTCATGTGACCCAGGATGACGTCATCATGACGTCGCTCGTCCGCACACATCTATGCTGTATGGACTATGTCTATGCAAACTTTGAACGATATGCAACAAAGTTTAAGGGCAAAAGTGGCGTGTAGAATAAACGTGTACAAAGTCTATGGGGTTTTGGGGAAAAAAGAAGAAGAGGAAGAAGAAGAAGAAGAAGAAGAAGAAGAAAGAAAAAAAATCAGAACAAAAAGAAAGGCTTTTCCGCAACAATGCGGAAAAGCCAAAAAATCAGAACAAAAAGAAAGGCTTTTCCGCAACAATGCGGAAAAGCCAAAAATGAGAACAAAAAAAAAACGGCTTTTCCGCTTTTTTGCGGAAAAGCCACAAAAAAAAAAAAAAAAAGGCTTTTTTCGCAAAAAAAAGGAAAAAAAAAACTTTAATGAAAACGAGAGCTGTTCCCAATTGAAATTGGGAACAGCTAATAATAATAATGGGAGCGAAGTCGGGACGCCAGACGAAGTAGGGACCGTCTGCCACATAGGAAGCGCACATGTAAACAAAGCGTGACGTCATTAGGTCTCTTGCCTATACAATTAATGAAACGAGAAAAAAAAGTCAGTGTTCGTTTTATTTGCTACTTGCAGTGATCCGTTTGGTGAATGGTGCGACGCCAAACGAGGGCAGGGTGGAGGTGTGGCATAATGGCGCCTGGGGCACCGTGTGTGATGAAAATTGGGACATGAACGACGCCAATGTCGCCTGTCGTCAGTTGGGCTACCCGTATGCGACAAACTTCTACGGCTCAGCTACCCACGGTGCCGGATCCGGGCCGACCCACATCGACGGTATAAACTGCGCTGGTACAGAAGCTAGCCTTGACAGTTGTCCACACAACGGATGGGGTGTAGAAGACTGCACCCATAGCGAAGATTCCAGCCTGAAGTGTTATCAAAGTACGTGGCTGTATTAATTAATGTGTGGGCTTCTTTAAAACATCTCATTAATAATCACAGTCCAAACGTAGTGCTAACAGATTTCCCCTTTCAGTTTCTAATAATTTGGCTTTCTCTTCCTTGGGGGGGGGGGGGGGGGGAAGCCCCCAGGAGTGTATTTCAGCAGTGTTTAGTCCACTCCTTCACTTGACAGTATCAAATTAATTCACAAGCTATTCAACTGAACTGTGACAAAATTATTTGTTTGTCATTGTTCGTCAAAGTTAATTATTTTGCGTGACTTATGTTAGGCAGGCGCGGTTCTACGGGAGGGGGGGGGGGGTGGTCAAGGGGCTGTAGCCTCCTAATATTTTGTTTTGCCCCCCCCCAACAAAAAAAATCCGCCCCCCCCAAAAAAAAGGGAAGTAGCAGTAGCGAATTTTAGAAAGTGACGTCACCGGCAAAAGGTCTCCGCCCCCCCCCCCCCCTCATAAAATATTCGCCACAGCCGTCCAGGCACGGATCTAGAGGGGGGTTGGTTTTGTGTCGGACCCTCCCCCGGCCCCCTGTTGAAAACTGTTGAAAATTGTATTGATAAGAATAACGTAAATGTTCGCCACAGGCGTAGCCATTCGTGAGGAGGGGGAATTTGTACAGAGGTAATGATTATAGTGTGCATGATTGTGGGATTTGATCAGCGCTCCCCATTCAAAGTTTGGTAAGAACCGCGCCTGAGGTTAGGACTTGGGATTCTCATTTGACCAGACTTGTGATGGGCTTGACCACACCATTTTTAGGCTGACTATTTGTCAGATGGTGTATAAGCAACCCCGCTCTGGGGAAAAACATTAAATTTTACGTTTTATGACGATCATAAAGTATAATTTAAATCCTGACAGGTAGTAGCATTCGTCTGGCGAACGGTCCACTGCCCAACGAGGGCCGTGTGGAGGTCTACTACAACGGTGCCTGGGGAACGGTCTGCGATGACAATTGGGATATCGACGACGGTCACGTAGCCTGCCGTGAACTTGGCTACCCGTCTGCTGCCCAGGTCTGGTCCTCTGCCTTCTATGGACAGGGCACGGGGGCTATACACTTGGATGAAATGGCGTGTAGTGGCAGCGAGGCTAGCCTAGGAGCTTGCGGCCACAATGGATGGGGTTCTCATAACTGCGGACACTATGAAGATTCGAGTGTCAAGTGCAACCTGACCTAAGAACTACAGTTCGAAAGTACGATCTTTCAAGAGTGAAAGGAAAAGTATTGGGCAAAGAAAGGGGATCCGCATCTACATTAAAGGGAATGTACAACATTTGCTTTTGCTGCAATTTTCAGAAATAAATGGATTTTGGAGGATTAAAATGTTATAGAAAAAATTGTTAAACAGACTTGTTTCACGTTTAGGGCTTGTAGATCAAGAAAAAATCAAGAAAACCTTGTTCTTGTAGTTTGGCTCCCTGACACCACTTTAGATGAAACGGAGCAATTTGTATAGGCTTTTGGGAATTGTAAGGTCAGAGAATCAGTCTGGCAGGCTTGTAGCTCTTCACAGGTGTGTAATCAATTGCAGAGAAAATGCGGAATAACTAAATATGAAAAATTAGGAGCAGTTTTTGAAAATCAGCTAGTTTTCTCCAACGCTGGTCGGCCGACAAGCGTTGGACAAATAAAATTTTTCTTGAAAATGTCAGCTGGCACACCATCAGGAGCGCCGATTTCACAGGATGCTTTAGACTATTATTCCCTAACAATCCAGTAAGGTAGTTCGTGATAATTTGATCATTTCGTTTTTTGATGTTTGGAAATGTTGTATCTTCGCTTTAATATTTTTTTTTATTATATACATTGTGCCCACTTGTATACAGTCGACTCTCGTTAGTACAAACTCTGTTAATACAAAATTCTGGTTATAACAAACATAAAGCCTTGGTCCTGACTGTGCATTTATCTGCACAATGAATGGGACTGATGTTCCTCTTAATACAAAATTCTGATATAACAAACAATTTGGCTAGGTCCGAGCGAGTTTTTTTATAACGAGACTCGACTGTACAGCGTTTCCATTTTGAAGTTGTCATGGTGTTGTAATTAACAAAAGGCCTTAGGCATAGCAGTTATCTCACAGGGCGTCTTTTCTTATTTTAATTCAGTAACAATAAATGCACAGCAGCTTCACTCATGCACATCCCAGCAAGACAAAGGCATTGCTCTTTGACATGACTGCTACACCCAAGGTCAATATTTTAATGAGAAATACGAAGTCACGATTCCGTTTCATTGCATCAAATCAGCGAATAGGATTTGGCGTATGCTGCGCGATGTTATGTGAAACATTGGGATGATGTTCATGTCCGCAATCTTGCACGTCCCGGTTTTCTAGCTTTAAGTAGAAACATTTATTTCAATGTTGCCATCACATAGTTCCACACAATAAAATGTTACTTTTTTTTGTGTGTCGTGTAAACTCATTATACAGAGCAAAATGCAATGAATTATGTAAAGGTGTATAATAATGTACATGGATCAATACTAAATCTAACTAACGACAACATTTAGGTATAAGGTGAATCGTCACTCTTTTGTACCCTAACCTATCGACAGACAATTGTGCATGACCGAGAAACAAACAGAGACAGCGACAAAGGACAAAATGGACAACAATCAGACACACAAAGACACAACCTAAAAAAAACAGAAACTGGTATGAGACGAGAGCATACATTAAGATTCATAAATTATAATTCGAATAAGAATTGAGTAGATGTGAAATAAGGTTTTTAACAAAGACAGAGAAGGAAGGTAATGATTTTAAGAAGTTATCTAGACTATTCCAATATGATGTACCACGTTGAATAACACTATTTTCAGATTATGTTGTTCTGTTAAATTGGACAATAAATTTCTTCTTCTAGTGCTTCGGGTATTATAAAAATTAATATCAGATGTGAACATAAAGAAGGGGTTAAAACAAGTAGCTCGATGTCGATTTGCATTATGGTGGAATTGTAGCAAAACCCTCATACAGTTGTATGTTTGAATAGTATAACTCTATGAGGAAAACACACATCAGTTACTTTTACTCCCAGAATATGGCTTCGCTGTAGCGCCCTCATTTACAAAAAAAACACCCATGACCTTTGTGTATACATCGGTGCGTTCGAGTAGCTGACCCGGATCGATTCAGATAAAGGCACTGAGGCAGACGGGTTAGCCACGACATCCTCTGAATGACGTCAGAGCTAGTCGAGCGACACGGGACGATCTGGGTGAGCTACTCCAATGCACCCATATTTGATGGAAGTAAAGCCTTGAGATTAACTTTGTCAATCAGGCGATATCTCAAGAAGAAATGTATCCATGTATCCATATGTATCTGCGTTGCAGTTTGGGGCTTAACGACTCTCGATCGCAGCTGCATCTCTTACCTCAAAAATATCGTCCACGGGTAATTTTTGTACGTTTGTAACGCAAGTTAACGTCTCGTTAATAGTTTCATCAGTGATTTGAGTTGGTGACAGTGAAACTAGCACATGGTAGCGCTGTAAGTGATTTTCACTATGCAAAAGGCTTCTTCGACTTGATGATGGGAATTAGAGTCCTTATCAAGCAAAGAGAGATAAAATCTTGTTCAACTTGTTTTGTTACTCTTTTGAGTTTGATGTGCAAAATATTTTTCAGAATTTATTGAAGATAGCCTAAAACAGGTTCATTTTTTTTTAAAAACACTTCTCTCTGTAGAACTACGACGACACTTTGTATGCTTGTACATGTAAACTTATAGGTTGTTTTTATGTAAAGTTGTTAAATGTAAATTTGGTGTTTATATGTTTTAGCGCCTTGAATTGAATTCGTTTCTGCGATTGTCTGCGTTTTATAAATTTCTCTTTCATTACTATTATAACGATGACGTCATAATGTGATTTTTAAATAATGAGATTTTTAACCTTTACTTTAATGTCAAGGTTAAAAAAATCATTATATAACCTAAATGTGCTCAATTCTAAATTCTTTTTGTTAATAGCTTAGGTGGTTAATAAAGATGTGCAAAGAATGGTGAGAAATATCTGACATCGTGTTCTCATCAATGTGCCGTGTGCTATTTTAAAGACAAGACTTGATTTGTCATGAAACTTGGTGGTCGCGTAGGATATGTTGCAGATATACGTATTACAAAGTGTCCTAATGATGACGCCATACATTGACTGTTTTAAATACTCTTTGAATGTTTTCCCCTTTTCCACTCTCAACTTGACATGATCGGAACTTGTGACAAGATGGACGTGCTACTTTTCACGTAAGGGAATAAAAACAAACATGCACCTAGTATTGGCATCATCATGATGTCATCACCAAATGTTTTGGTGATTTTAAAAATATGCTACCGAAAGTTTCATAAAGTTTGTACATGTTTTTTGCGACTGCATTTCTGTCATTTTTGTGTTTTTGTATGTGTACAGGTCAATTAGATGCAAAATTGCACTGACATAACTTCTCATAAGCTTCAGTTTACCTGCATGGGTTGGACATAGGCTGTACATTGATTGACCGCTCGAGACCAGAAAATGACCCCCCCCCCAAAAAAAAAGGTGAATATTACGCCATTGCTTTCGTGTGGAGAGTGTTCCATCGTCCCGTTATTTTGACATTTTGATTTTACATTTCACCACAAGAGGGCGCTACTTCACTCACAAAAGATGCAAGAGGGCGCCGTGTCGCTCTCTATGAGCAAGCACGGGCAAGGACTACTAGTCGACTAGTGGTTGTTTATGTGACGTAACTTACGCCCGCGCAAATGGTCTAAACCTGGTTCTGGTCCCAAATGGTCAACTAGAGTAGTCCAACCATCCTTCCTTCGAGGGAAGTTAGTCAAAGATATACCTTTATCATGCTGCCACCATTTCAATCATGTTCCCAATATCCAATAACAGTACTGAATGATAATGGGTTTTTTGTAAAAAAAAAAAAAAAAAAAAAGGAACCAGACTATTTTTCCTTCTATCCTCGCTTAGGTTACGTTGATTTTAATGGGAAAAATCAAGATGGCCGCAACATGAAAATGGTCTATATATTTCGCGCCTGAGCTCGCTCCATTGGTGGACCCAACCACTTGCAGTAGATATGCTTCCACGCGTGACACGTACACAGTAATAAAACAGCCACTGGGATCACTCACGGCTCATTGTGTGAACAACACGGTACTCACCTCAGCCTGGAGTGTTAAACTGATTGTGAAATGTAGTTTCATCCAGAATTGTTTTCTGCGGTACCTTATACGCGGATATTTTTCCCGTGTTATCAGCTTAAAAAAATACAAAGGGGTCCTCAAGAGATGGCCATAAATCGATACTTTGATTAAGGGACTCTGGGATTTCAGTTCTTATCTTTAATTGAAGGACGATCAGTTGGAGAGGAAACCATGGCCTCAAATGCGGCCACTCTTCCTTACGCAGCAGCAGCAGCATGCATCGTCATCGCAGTACTACCGTGGATCCACGGCATAGAATCGTACTGGGGTCACCGCAGTTTTAAGGTCCATTGTGAGAAGGGGATCCGTCTTGGTGGCGGGGACGCCGGCTTGGGAGTCTCCCGTAAGACGTCATCCAAAGCCCAGTGTCTGCGGAGCTGCTTTGCTCGCGCCGAGTGCAAGTCTATCAGCTACTCGCCAAAGACGGGCCAATGCTACATGAGCGACTCCACCAAGGGTGTAGCTGGGACATCTCAGGATGAGGGATACGTCTACTGCGGACCTGACCAGGATGAAGTGTGGGAGGTATTTTCTTTTCCTTTCCGTCCCCCTTTTCTATTTTTAAACAGATGCATGAACAAAATCTTGTGACATTCGTTGATATAAACGACCGAAACAATAAGTTACACGCGCTTACGATAGCTAGTAAGCCAAAACACGGCATGTGAAAAAAATATCTGCGGCGATTTTAACTAATTCACTTTGTTGTGGCGTTACTACGCTGTTACCACTCCTAGTTACATTTGGCTAGAAAAACATTCACATTTGCACCCGGCTGGCTACAGCTAGGGTCAGATTGGTTTGGTGTGCAAGATGGACTATATTCTAGTTAATTCAAACCAGAGTATTTTTGGAGTGTTTAGGGAATGGGACAAGCTCCCTCGAGGCCCCGCCTCTCATTGCGTCCTCTAAACGAGCATAAAACACTGGAACTTATTAACCCTCCAGAAAATGAAACCTCTAACCTAAAAACTATACAGCGTGTCCCAATAAACATTGTGCATGAAGGCGTCGCTAATTTGCTGAAAAGGTGGTCTAGCTAATCAATTTTTATAATATTTTAAAGCCCATGGAATTGTTTATAATTGGTAAAAATATCAGGAAATTTCATCAATGCAACCAGAGATATTGTTGATATTGTAAGGCCATTTTTTTCCTCCTGCACAATTAGAATCCTGTAGTTATGCTTAGGCCGATACATTTAAGCTGTCAAAGGAGATTGCATGTTCATTGTCCTTTCAAAATCTTTGTCAAAGACTAAACACCTAGCATTTTGCTTTCCCAGTTGTATAAGATTTAATTATACAATGACATGTACCTAAATGTTATCTGTGAACACCCTTATCCAAATGCAACATGAAGGCGACGCAATATTTCACTGCGTAACAGTCATGTGCTTGCGAAGGTTACGTAACAATTCATTTTGAAAGAAACTACGTGTAAACACATGTTCACGTTGGCGAGCGAAATCTTTGAAAATTAATTTCTCCCGTTTGGAAGACCATATCTTCATGCAACTTTCAGGGTTTACTTCCCTCATAATGACCCAAGTATGTGCTAAAAATTGTTGCGATGTGTTCATTTCTTTTCGTTGAAATTGGAAAAATAGGCCGGGGTGCGTATTTTTTTATTCCTAGGAGGGTTAGGGGCAATGTCATGAATAATTCATGTTGATCCATGAGAACGGACAATGACATCAACAGCATTGTTGTTAGTTACTCAACTAGTTACAATACTTAAAGCATTTTAAAGAACGGTTGTCGTCGAGCTACCACACAGTAGCCTAGTGGATAGCGAGATGAGCTATGGATACAAAGATCCCTGGTTCGAATCCACGTCGTCGCTGCTCATTTTCATCAGCTATTTTTCTTCTCCAAATTTATCACGGAGATAATTTTAAATTAAGGGGAAAATAGAACGAAAACCTAAGTCTTGCAATGATTCAAAGGAAGAACTGAATTATTCATGACATTGCCCCTAACCCTCCTAGGAAAAAAAAATTACGCGGCCTGGCTGCGTGCACTTTTGAAAGTTGGAACACTTGCGTTTGCAATATCTGTCAATCTTTTCAAGACTCACAAATATTATTAAGGTTCCTATTCATTATGGTATGCAGTATAAATTTGGAGAAAAGCCGCCTTAACGAGTTGTTAATTGATAAATATCACCCTTTTGCCGGCTTCCATTGGTCGATACCGAGACCCACGCCACAACACGCCGAGTGACGCCGATGAATATGCTAATCTACCATACTCGGTCAACCGTAGCGCCTATGGAGTTGGTTCTAGTTGGTACACTAGCGTTTGCAACAACAGATTAAGCTGAAATTCGGAATATTCTTAGATGATATAAGTGTTGAACAAATCGTGAAATAACAACTTGGAGAGATTCCTAGAAATTGAGGTTAATACATGCATTTGGGGAAGTTTTTCAACGATTTCTTCCAGACTTGAAGGTCAGCTTTACCAGTAACCAGTTTTGACGTTTCGGCATCGATGACCGAGATTTTTTTCACTGACATTAAGTTTAGAGTATAGTCTTCCGTTATAATTTAACATTTCAATCATACTGAGCATATTTTCTGACAAACACAACGTTCAAAGTTTTTGGGGATGCATGGATTTCACTGCTCTATTAAAGCGTCTAAAAGTACGTAATCGGATTAGCTTTGCCTAACAACACCAGATGCTTTGCCTTAGCAACCACATGACTGGTAACACATACCAATAACCCAATAATATACAAGCAAATACTAGTGTGGAAATTACATTGTGCAGGTCGAAAAATACATTACCAAATCAAAAATATCTCCAGTTTGCATCGTTGGATTTTCTGGATTTTTTCTCACCAATTACAAACAAGACCATAGGTTTGAAAATGCTATACAGTTTGCTTAGCTAGTCTGACCAACTTTGAGAAAATCATCGACGTTTATTGGGACACGCTGTATATTCAATTGCTGTATGTCCATCGACTTTATGCATAGCAGCCATCGTAGAGAGTGCAATATTTTCACACACATGCATGATTATACCTATTTCTTTAATAAAATTACGGTGTCAAAAGAACATAATTTCCTCATATATTTCGCTCAAAACTATCTCCGTAATGGTTCCTTAATAGCTACTAGTGATAATACAGACTGCTAGCTACGCTTAATTGACCGTAAGCTTTGTAATGGTTCCATTCATTGTCAGGCGTTGTCGTGCGGTAACTTACCGTACAATTCACGACTAATAGGTACCATCAATTCACCATTGTCGTAACGTTTATCTGGGTTTTTTTTTGGGGGGGGGGTTACAGTGCATGCTTTTCTTATTAATTATACTGTACGTCAAAGCACAGTTTTCAAAACAATCTCATAGCGGCTACCTATATATTGCTGATATCAACAAAGACAAAAATGTCTGCTTTGACTACTGCCAAAAGCATTTTCCATGAACGGACAAGCATCAGATGCGTTGATGTAACTATGGCAACAACGTGTGCCAAAATAAAGCTAGTCTATAAATAATAAAAGTGGGGCCTGAAATAAATTCACTATGAACAATGCATTTTTTATTTGCTCATCGGACCAATTCAAGAAATGGTATAGAAGCATTGTGCCATGTATTGTTCAGAATGGACTGGTTGTTTTCTGTGAAAACAGGCACAATGCTTCCGTCATCACTGTAACTGGAGACCGTCCACTGCCCGCCATATACAAATCTGCATAACCCATTGGCTGTTAGAAGTGAAGTGACTTTTCGCCATATTGCCAGTCCCAGATTAATAGATTTATAAAGACAAATATCAAATTGGATTGATTTTTTGTAAAAAAACAAAATCAATTGGCAACAAAATATATTTTATTTAAATGTTCTCGTTTGACTTTTTTCTGTACACTTTTAGACGACTAAAATCGAGAGGGATCGGGAACCAGCGCGTAGCTTCACTTTTTTTGTACAGCTCAGAATGGTCCACGAGCGGTGTTTTTATTTGCAGCACACATCGTCAATGATCTTTGGATCATGATTATTCAGCTATAGTTCGATATTTATTCATAAGAAAATTAGAATGACGTTACACCATTGCGTTCACTCAGTCATGCATGTACACTAAAACGTTTCAAAGAACGGCCTTCGTCGAGCTGCCACGTGGATAGTGGAATGAGCTATGGATCGCAAGATCTTTGGTTCGAACCTATGTTCAATTTTCATTGATTCTTTTTGTTCGTTGAGATAAGTTTAATAAGCCTCTGTACTGATGACGTCACACTTTGTTCACATGTGCACTTTCCTATGGAGCCAGTGGGGGCCCGCGGTCCACTGAGCGCCATAGGAAAGCACACACGTAAACAAAGTTTGACGTCATTAGTACAGAGGCTTATTGAAGGGAGAACACACAGTCGTTTTTTGCTATGCTTCCGAGGATTGGCTTTGTGTTTTCCTTTGTCCCTGTAATATAACACTCTCCCATAGACTAAGCACACAAACCTGCGTTCGAGGACAATAGGCACCTTCCTTCGAGGATCAATGGCCCCTTTGTGCTCCTTTTGTTGTCTGTCCTCAGGCGTAATGCAATGCAGGAACACTACAAGAAGCTAAGTGTCTTCCATCCACGCAGCGTAATAAATATTCACGTTAGGGTGCGTGATGTGATTGGTTAAAAGACGACGTATGCTGCAAAAAAAGGTGCGGCCTACGTGCTATCCAGATTTGTTTATATGGAGATTAGTGGGACCGTCATTATGCATGGTGTACAGAAACATCGCTCCTATTAGCTGCTCTTGCCCTGGCATGGTACTTGATCATTTTCACCTCCAAAAATCTTGAACAATACAATTAGAAGTAGCGGATCTAGGGGGGGGGGTGTTGGAGGTTGCAACCCCCACCCCCCCCCCCCCCCCCACACACACCCCCGTTCAGCTGCTGACTAATGTTATGACACAAGTAAAATGGGGCCAAAAATAATAAGCGGAATGCTAAAGTTCCTAAATGTATTCTTGAATTGCCTTAGAATGCAGGAGAAAGCATCGTAGCCTTCAACATTTTCCGGGGCATACCCTTGGACCCCCCTAGCAGGACGCGTTTTAGACCCCCTCCCGTTTTTAGATCCTTGCTATGGTACACTATTGAGACCGAAGTTCATAAAGCAGATCCCAAACACGCGTTTAATTCGCGCTCGCGCCAATTTCGGAAATTTTTCTTCTGCAGTCTAGTAAAGTCATTTACGTGATGCTTGAAACATATCACGTGGTTGAATAAAGATGTCATGGGATTTGAAATATCTTCATAAAGTTTAGATTTAGGGCCTACACAATGAAAAGCGTGGCATCACTGTGGCCTGCTACGTTAGGTCAGGGTCCAAGTGCTGCAGGTTACGATTTGGAGTGCCCCGAAGTTTTACATTTTATTATGTTTCCCCAAAGCGAATTTTCTCTCTTAAATTGTGTTTAATCAATTCCTACCAATCGGCGAAATAAACTTCAATTTGTTTTCCTCTGATTTATGGCCCTGGAGGATTTTAGGGGAGTTAAGTCCGAGAACCAGTCCGTTCCAACCTGATGCATGTGGATTATGGTATTTGACCATAATTGCTTGTAGAAAAAAATAACCCTTGCCAGTAGTTCAGTTCGACTCGCCCAAAAGTTCAATTATTGATCAGTTATATGACCTTCGCTGAGTATGACAACGTGTAATCAAATGTGTGCATCGTTACAATGAATTAGTAAACGCCTACTTCAGGATGAACACGTTCGATGGATATATATATGGAAACTATAAAATGAACGTGAAAGTTCAACCCTTCCTTGTTATGTCAGTCGACAAATCGATGTACGGACCTTGAGAAATATAAAGTAATCATATAGCTCCATGAAGAAATGAAGACTTTTGAACTATGGGTTTGCTGCATTACTAGTCCAGTGTCCAGTATAATCCTCTCCATAATAAATCGAGTCGCATGACAAGGAATGTAGTGTAATGTCTTTTTTTCATAGTTATTTATGACACGTGAGATTGCATTATTCAAATGAATGTGGTTTTTTTTATGTTTATCTAATTTTTCAGGGACTAACAAAATATAGAAATCTAAAAAGAGAAATTGCCTATTTGAGAAAATGCCTATTTGACCGTACCAAACACACACTGACAGAGGATGACTTAAAACAATTGCTTAAAACAATTGCTTAAAGTTGGTTGATACGTGTTTTTTTTCTTCAAAATTTCAAATTTCTTTTCCGAACGAATTTGGAATGAATATAATATGAGTATAATGTGCTTGTTTGCATTAATTCATGCGTTTATATAGTTTTAAAAAGTGGTTTTACACAGCACTCCGGTTCAGAAAGTTTTGAGCGAAACGCTATAAATATACATATCTAGTGACGTATAGCCACGTATTCATGTATGTTAATTTTAAATCACGCATTTTGTATTAGCCTAGTACCATGGACCGATCTGGCGACTTTCGCGTCTTTTCCTCTCAGAGGATTGCAAAAAGCGTAGTTATTTTCAAGTGTAGATTTGAGTGGTAGCACTAATGGCATATCGTGTACGTGCCTTTTGGGTGTGGCACCCGAAAATAGATTTTCAAATTGAATTGATAATTGTCTAGCATTACATTAGTTATGAGCTTTCCAATGAGATATCGCACGAAAAAAAAAAAGGCAGAAAAAAGTAACCAATTAATACATTTCGACTTATTCGAATCAGGGGCCAGCAGGACCTAATTACGCATGCGCCAGTACAGTTTATGAATAATAATAAACACCACACATTCCAAGTGTGTGTGATCTGTGTGGAGACGTTACTGTGCATAATGTGCACGTGTAAGCACGTATATACCAACCTAAAAACAAGCAAACCAAATCTGGATTGACATGAAAAATATAGGAAAATATATATATAAACAAATGAAAATGAACGGAAATATGACATGTTTTGTTATTCAAAATAATTGAAAAGAATTGACAAGGCTGAATATGAATAAAAAATAATCAAACACCATTATTAAAAGTAAGAAAAAACATTAAACTTTAATGAAAAGTAAAACCTAGTTGAAAAAAATACCTAGACAGAAGTTAAAGGTCGAAGTTAATGTTGACCGTAAAAGCTTTTAAATATAGTTTTCCCGGCGAATTTCCGAAGTTTTCTAATCAGTTTCATTATCAGCCATTCAATTTCGCGTGAGTGTTGCACATGTGGTCAAATTGGGGTTTCTTTTTCGTTTTGGGTTCTTTTTTTAGGCAGCCAAGATTTTGCGCCGAATATTCGTTTTCATTTTTGGGCATCCTATTTCGTTTTGGTGCATAGCAGTCTTAAATTAAGTCTTTGCAACCTTTTGACGGTTGACGCATTCAAATTAGCGAAAGTCTGTGCGCTTGTAACATATAACCACGCTTTTCGTTTCTTATTCGTTTATGGGCAATCGCTTTCATCGTTTGGTCATTTAAATTAGTAAAAAAAATAATCGATACATTTTCCTATTTTTCTCCTAGGTTCATTTCCTCCCAAAACTTGATGACTGTAAAATTTACAATGTTACAAATTAACTGATAGGCCATATGAGGGAAACAAGATGTAACTACGAATTAATTAATTGAAGGGACTAAGATAATTTATTTTTCACTGTGTATCTTTTCTACTTGTTTAAACGTTTGAAGAAGGGTCATCTTTACGTTGACGATTTCTTGACGTGCAAGACATCGGAACACCTATGTTTGGCAATGGTTGCACCATACCATCTGGAACATTTCTCTTGAGTTATTTCTTAAATGTTTTCTTGCGCATGTCTGACGGAACACTTACCGTATTCACAGGGTCCATGCAAAGTAAGTCTGCAATGCAAACCTTGAAAATACAACTTTGTGTCACATTTAACCTTATTTGCAAGTTTCATTTTCCATTTTGAGGTGGGTTTTTGGAGCCTTCTCCGTTTTATGCTAATGCAAAGTTTCATATTCATTAGATAACCTGTGATGGCATTCCGGGCATGATTAATGTTACACAACTATTTCAGCAAACAAAGTTGCTAGAATTTTGAATGTTTGGCTGTCATAAATTTCTTTTATTTAGTGATTATATGATGTGTCAGTATGGCAGTAAGCCAACGACCAACAACGCGATACTTTTAAAATGAATGCATCTTTGATACGGACGAGTGAAGCTAAAAGGCGATAGAATGCTTGGATAGTGAAATTGAATGATTCTTTTTGATTGTCGAATGTCGATCTGCGTGATCTTTCAATTTCAATTTAAATCGAACGAGCCAGGCGTTAAATTGAATGAAAGCTTGGTGAAATTGGCCGGGAAAACCTATATAAATTACAAGCATCATAGCATACAGTCAGCTCGCAAGCAATTAAAACGAAATCGATAGGAAACTGGGGTAACAAGATGGTATATGAAGAAAATTTTAAAAAAAAGTGTCTAAAATATGACACGGACACAGATGATGAAGGAAAACTACATCGTAAAAAAAAGTCATGTACAGCAATTTATGAAATTGAATGCACCATAACGAATCATGCATTCGAACGAACATATTGTTGATTAACAAAGGATATTGAGTTTATGCGCATGTGAATGTATTGCTTGGCCTACATCAAGATCTTCATTGAGATGTATTACACAATGTACAAAGGAAAGACTACGAGCCGAGGAAAGACTACGATACGAGCCAATACGGCGAATTATGTATTTGACTGTTATGAAAGATTGAACGTAGTGCAGTATTATTCCGTCAACCATTTCCATAAAAATATGAATTGAAAACATTTTTTTTATTCAACCAAATAGCTATTGAAAGATTGAAATTAACAACACAGGGAAGAGTCGAACTTTTCCCTTATATCTGTGTCCACACAAATCTTTGGTGTTTTACAAAGTCGCCGACACGTGTTTTGCCGTTCATTATTGATATATTGAAGTTGGTGTATGCGTGCTTTGTGTGTGTGGAAACTTGATAAATGGATTTTTAAATTGAATTGATAATTTTCTAGCATTCCATTGGTTATGAGCTTTCGAATGAGAAATAGCACGAAAAAAATTGGCCCATGACGGGCAATCAATTATTAATTTCAACTTTGAATGAGCGGGACGCTCCTAATTCGTTCTGAATAGTGTGCGCAATTTCTGAACTGGAGCGCGCCATTTAAAACCAATTTTTAAAACTATATAAAAGCCTGCAAAAACAAACAAGCAAATTTATTCGTTACAGGACATATATTCCATTACATTTCGTTCTGAAACGAAAATCGCATTTTTTTAAAAGCGCGTATATAACAACTTTAAATGTTTCATGTTTGTTTGTTGTCGCAAAATCTCACTGATCTGTTTGTTTTAATTTGCAAGTTCTTTGCTGAGGGGTGGCATTTTCTGTGCATTTTAGTTGTACTCTTACAACAATCTGTGTCAGACTCTCAATTTATATGCAAGATCCTTAAAGAATGATCAAAAACAAACACAGGGACCTAATTCGACTTGGTACTTTGAAGTGTAAAGGATAAGATAGTATGTTTATATTTTTGTCATGTTTTCATTCAGAGAACCGCTATTACAGTGGAACTCCCCACAACGACATTGATGCCAACCACACTGGGTAAGTTTAATTGGTTTCGAGTGATCGGAGTCGCTTTGAAGAGAATGGAATCCGATGTGATAAACTGCATTTGGAAAAAAATAAGTGGTACAATTTTCTACATGAACTCAGCATATATGAAGCTCAGTAAGACGTGTATTGTTTTTTGTTTTCATTTCCGAACGTCTACAATGGTACTGAGTGTAAAACTTTGTGAAATACGCACATGATGAGAACAGTTTTGAGCTTTGATTTGTGCAACAAAAGTTAATCAAATGACGGCTGAACTAAAAATCACCAGAAATTACAGAGGCTCGCTAATGAAACAACAAAGTCTCAATCTGAACCACTAGTAAAAACGTGTGTCAACTATTTCTTCGGCGGGACAAATAATCATTTCTGGACCAATATTACATTTGGTGTTATTTTTTGTCTGACTTTATAGCTGCCTGAACGGAAGTAAAGACGGAAAGAAGAATCCAAATAAAAAAAAGAAAGAAAACAAACTCTAGGTTTTCATATCATGGAATTGAGTTCAGACCGATTCCTGCAGCAGATTAATCGGAATGGAATTCACTTGGTATCTCGTACCAAACCATGACCCTCCCAGTTCGTTTCGCGAGTTTTCAATAACCGTGATCTTCTCGCGATTTCACGCTCTGTCTATTCAGTGTTGTCTATCACAAGTTCTCACAACTCCATCACAAGTCCGTCACAAACACCCAAGTCTCTAATTATGTCAAAAGCTATGTACGTGAACTGTGAAAAAGGGATTCCTTTGTCGTTCATCTCTTGTTACTTGTGACGGGGTCTACCTGATGTTCATCAATACCTATGTTCACCAATACCTATGTTCCCCAAAATCCTTACAGGGTTAGGGTTGTAGGGTTAGATGGTTAGGGTTATAGGGTTAGGGAACATAGGTATTGGGGAACATATAGGTATTGGGGAACATAGCTATGCACCCCTTGTGACCGGACTTGTGATAGACTATCCAATCGCCTATAACATTGCTCACGTTGACAGAACCCAACGAGTGTGACAGTGACCCTTGCCAGAACGGAGCCGCTTGTAACGACGGCCCGGACATGTTCACTTGTGACTGCGCCCCTGGGTACGAGGGAACCACATGCAACACAAGTGAGTAGGATACTTTTCGTTACCGTGACGTGAGTCTGAAGAATATCACGACATCAATTACATCCAAACTAATTACATTATATTCGTGTATGAACTCATAACGTACACATTCAACAAATAGACAAATATTCTCTTTACATGATTCAATTTTTTGTTCAGATACTGACGAGTGTGGCAGTAACCCGTGTCAAAATGGCGCTAATTGTGTGGATGCCGTCAACGAGTATGCATGCACGTGTCTCGCAGGCTATGATGGCGTACACTGCGAAACAAGTGAGTTCACGATTTATACGAAATTTAGACTGTTTGCAGTGTCGCAGCCATCTTGGAGGTGTCTGCTTTTGCTCAGCAGGGATATCACTGATCTGCATTGTACTGACTGGATAGCGCTTTAGGCCGTGGGAGATGAAGTCACTGGACGCCATTTTGAAGCTCCCTTTGGCCAAGTAAAAGTATATGCAAAGTCATAAAATAAATTTAAATATTTGAAAAAATATTAAAATGAATAAATTAACTCTGTTGGCAAAATGAATAAATAAAAACGTGTTTGATGATCCACAATCGTTTCCCTAAATTATTGTAATCATGTGCTTTTTATATACGGATCCGTGCGTTGTGGAGCTTTTTAGGGAGCTTCAAAATGACCAGCGCCAGTGTGTGAGCGCGAGGGCGACACGGTCTTCTTGTGCACAAACATAGGTCGAAGCCAACCTCGCCCCCAGGGTGTCGAGCAGTACGCGCCCACCACTACCTGCTCTCTCACCCTGGTATTGGATCATTTGCATGTGCAAAATTTTTGCGCACGTATGCAAATGAGGAATAGTCTGGTGCCTGCCTGTACGTTACATTAGCGTTTGTTTTTGTATGCGATGTCTGGGGTAAAAACACTATCAATTCGTCGCGCCGTGAGTTACGAAAACACGATTGTTTTCGACTGAGTTAAAATGTTACAATCTTATCCCGAAAACACGTCATGCACGTTGGAAATAACACGATATAAATCCATTACTAAAGTAAGCACTGGGGACGAGGTTGAGGTCGAAGCACTATCTAGTTAATGAATAAGTGGGTTCGGTGTCTCTGTGAAGTAGTCCAGGTCAAAGGTTATTCGGGATAAAATCGCTGACGTAATGATGTGCGATGTTACGCAGGCACGAGCGCCGTGCGCCCGGCCGTCTACGCGCGCGTTCTATACGCCTTTGATTATCCCGAATGACCCGTGACCCATATCATTGTGCGCATGCGCAGTTGAAAAACCAAACTGGCCTGGTGACATAACAAAACACACCTCAAAGATGACTGCTGTATGCAATCGATCTATTGACAATAATAAATAAGTAATAAATACAAACAAATAACAAACTTGTATTCTTTGATGCATTTATGACAGACATCAACGAATGTGCTAGCAGCCCTTGTCAAAATGGCGTCTGCAATGATGGAGTCAATAGCTACACTTGCACCTGTTCTGCTGGATATGAAGGGACTTTATGTAACACGAGTAAGACCTAACATAAATCCGTACATTCTTGGACATCAAACAATATCTTGTTCTCCGTATAATCATTTAGCCATCCACAGCCATACTACATGTACAAAAGACAGTGATAAAGCTTGTGGTGTATGTCATTCAGGGTCCATGTTATTATAGGGGCAGGTGGTAAGAATAAAATGTATGGTTCTGAGTGTGCCCCTTTGAATAGGGCGCCCTCTTAAGGACAGGTCTTACGCCCTCTGTGATACCCCCAGATACAAAGGACTGCCATTGTCATTTGATTTTTTAATTTAAAAAAAATCATTGACGATGAACTGTGCAAAACATCTACACATTAAAAGCAATGAGATTTAAGGAACTTTCCAATTGTAATAAATCTGCGAATGAAAAAGATATGTAAATTGATTTTGTTATGAGCATACTGCATCCTATCAACTTAAGACAGATTTATTCCACTCACTGTTTTAGAATGGTTGTCAACACAAACTGAACACAGGAAGCAGTATCAATCAAGAAAAGTATTATGTTTAAACCAAACAAAGAGAATTAGTATTGTGGAATAATTGTTTGCTGTAATGTTCGTCTTTATGGCAGACACCAATGAATGTGCGAGCAGCCCTTGTCAAAATGGCGTCTGCAACGATGCAGTCAACAGCTACACTTGCACGTGCACTTCTGGATACGGAGGCACCTTGTGTGATACAAGTAAGACCCAATTGAACTTCCATATTTTTGTTTACAGCAAATCGAAATGTTGCACTCTCTAAACTAACCGTATTAATCCTAAGTGTGCCAGTAGTGTAATCCATTGAGTGGACTACTCTGTACAGTAGTGAGTTGTGGAGTGAAAGATACGTGTAACATTAATTAGAATCAGACAATCAGGAGGTTGGTATGGATGGCTAACATCCCCTCCATCACCACCACAAGTACCACCGCCAAAACAAACTTCCTTTACAAATTGGACCAAATCCAAAGTTCTCTGAATAACGTCATCGCTCACATTGTGCACATTGATTCATTGCTCCAAGTTTTTGGTGCTATATATAAAGACTGCATTGTCTCTTTTACCCCCTCCTCGAAAAATCTTGGACTTGAACACCACCCCACACACCCCTTTGGGAATCAAGGGGGAGAAACAAGCGAAATTTGAAGAGTATTTTAAAACGCGTTGGTTTACTCGGTGTATTCTTCTCTGAATTTATGACAGACACCAATGAATGTGCTAGCAGCCCTTGTCAACATGGCGTCTGCAATGATGCAGTCAACAGCTACACTTGCACCTGTTCTGCTGGATATGAAGGAACTTTATGTGACACAAGTAAGACCTAGCATTACTTCTCTACATTCTTGGACATCAAACAAAATCTTGTTCTCCATAATCATTTGACCATCCACAGCCATACTACATGTACAACAGACAGTAGTTTGTGGTGCGTGTCATTCAGGGTCCATGTCATTATAGGGTCGGGTGGTAAGAATGACATGAATGTTTGTACTCTGTGGTGAGTTGCAAGTGAAAGATCTGTGTAAAAATAATTGAATCAGACAATCAGGAGGTTGATCGGGATGGCCGAACATCCCCTCCACCACCACAAAAAAACGACCATTATTAATTATTTACATATTGGACCAAATTCCACGTTCCCTGAATAACGCCATCACTCAATATTATGCATTTTGATTAACTGCTTCAGGCTTTTTGTGTTTTATGTAAAGATTGCACTGTCTCATGTCCCCCGAAATATCTTGGACTCCAACACTCCCAGACACCCCTTTGGATAACCCTTGGAGAAAACAAGCGATCGTTCCCGTTTTGTGGGAGACAAGGATTTATCCAAAGGGACATTTTTTTACTCACCCTGTATGCATACGTATTTCAAGCTGTGTGTTATATACACGTTCTGTGTGTGACACATACACACAACACTAATACACAAATGCTGTTTATCACACGTCCGCAGAATGCCAGCGTTCCCCATTCCAAATTTGGTACGAACCGCGCCTGAGGTTAGGACTTGTGATTCTCATTTGACCGAACTTGTGATGGGCTTGACCACACCAATTTTAGGCTGACTATTTGTCAGATGGTGTTTAAGCAACCCCGCTCTGGGGAAAAACATTACATTTTACGTTTTATGATGATCATAAAGTATAATTTAAATCCTGACAGGTACTAGCATTCGTCTGGCGAACGGTCCACTGCCCAACGAGGGCCGTGTGGAGGTCTACTACAACGGTGCCTGGGGAACGGTCTGCGATGACGGTTGGGATATCAGCGACGGTCACGTAGCCTGCCATGAACTTGGCTACCCGTCTGCTGCCCAGGTCTGGTCCTCTGCCTTCTATGGACAGGGCACGGGGGCTATACACTTGGATGACATGGCGTGTAGTGGCAGCGAGGCTAGCCTAGGAGCTTGCGGCCACAGTGGATGGGGTTCTCATAACTGCGGACACCATGAAGATTCGAGTGTCAAGTGCAACCTGACCTAAGAACTACAGTTCGAAAGTACGACCTTTCAAGAGTGAAAGGAAAAATATTGGGCAAAGAAAAGGGATCCGCATCTACATTAAAGGGAATGTACAACATTTGCTTTTGCTGCAATTTTCAGAAATAAATGGATTTTGGAGGATTAAAATGTTATAGAAAAAATTGTTAAACAGACTTGTTTCACGTTTTGGGCTTGTAGATGTTGGAAAAACCAAGAAAACCTTGTTCTTGTAGTTTGGCTCCCTGACACCACTTTAGATGAAACGGAGCAATTTGTATAGGCTTTTGGGAATTGTAAGGTCAGAGAATCAGTCTGGCAGGCTTGTAGCTCTTCACAGGTGTGTAATCAATTGCAGAGAAAATGCGGAATAACTAAATATGAAAAATTAGGAGCAGTTTTTGAAAATCAGCTAGTTTTCTCCAACGCTGGTCGGCCGACAAGCGTTGGACAAATACAATTTTTCTTGAAAATGTCAGCTGGCACACCATCAGGAGGCCCGATTTTACATGTTGCTTTAGACTGTTATTCCCTAACAATCCAGTAAGGTAGTTCGTGATAATTTGATCATTTCGTTTTTTGATGTTTGGAAATGTTGTATCTTCGCTTTAATATTTTTTTTTATTATATACATTGTGCCCACTTGTATACAGTCGACTCTCGTTAGTAAAAACCCTGTTAATACAAAATTCTGGTTATAACAAACATAAAGCCTTGGTCCCGACTGTGCATTTATGTGCACAATGAATGGGACTGATGTTCCTCTTAATACAAAATTCTGATATAACAAACAATTTGGCTAGGTCCGAGCGAGTTTTTTTATAACGAGACTCAACTGTACAGCGTTTCCATTTTGAAGTTGTCATGGTGTTGTAATTAACAAAAGGCCTTAGGCATAGCAGTTATCTTACAGGGCGTCTTTTCTTATTTTAATTCAGTAACAATGAATGCACAGCAGCTTCACTCATGCATATCACAGCAAGACAAAGGCATTGCTCTTTGACATGACTGCTACACCCAAGGTCAATATTTTAATGAGAAATACGAAGTCACGATTCCGTTTAATTGCAACAAATCAGCGAATAGGATTTGGCATATGCTGCGCGATATTATGTGAAACATTGGGATGATGTTCATGTCCGCAATATTGCACGTCCGGGCTTTCTAGCTTTATGTAGAAACATTTATTTCAATGTTGCCATCACATAGTTCCACACAATAAAATGTTACTGTGTCGTGTAAACTCATTATACAGAGCAAAATGCAATGAATTATGTAAAGGTGTATAATAATGTACATGGATCAATACTAAATCTAACTAACGACAACATTTAGGTATAAGGTGAAGCGTCATGCTTTTGTACGCTAACCTATCGACAGACAATTGTGCATGACCGAGAAACAAACAGAGACAGCGACAAAGGACAAAATGGACAACAATCAGACACACAAAGACACAACCTAGAAAAAAACAGAAACTGGTATGAGACGAGAGCATACATTAAGATTCATAAATTATAACTAATTATTCGAATAAGAATTGAGTAGATGTGAAATAAGGTTTTTTAACAAAGACAGAGAAGGAAGGTAACGATTTTAAGAAGTTATCTAGGCTATTCCAATATGATGTACCACGTTGAATAACACTATTTTCAGATTATGTTGTTCTGTTAAATTGGACAATAAATTTCTTCTTTAGTGCTTCGGGTATTATAAAAATAAATATCAGATGTGAACATAAAGAAGGGGTTAAAACAAGTAGCGTGATGTCGATTTGCATTATGGTGGAATTGTAGCAAAAACCTCATACAGTTGTATGTTTGAATAGTATAACTCTATGAGGAAAACACACATCAGTTACTTTTACTCCCAGAATATGGCTTCGCTGTAGCGCCCTCATTTACAAAAAAAAAGACCTTTGTGTGTACATCGGTGCGTTCGAGTAGCTCACCCGGATCAATTCAGATAAAGGCACTGAGGCAGACGGGTTAGCCTGGTATCCTCTGAATGACGTCAGAGCTAGTCGAACGGCACGGGACGATCTGGATGAGCTACTTCAATGCACCCATATTTGATGGAAGTAAAGCCTTAAGATTAACTTTGTCAATCAGGCGGTATCTCAAGAAGAAATGTATCCATGTATCCATATGTATCTGCATGGAGCTGTGTTTTATAGCTCCATGGTATCTGCGTTGCAGTTTGGGGTTTAACGACTCCCGATCGCAGCTGCATCTCTTACCTCAAAATACCGTCCACAGGTCATTTGTGTACTTTGTAACGCAAGTTAACGTCTCGTTAATAGTTTCATCAGTAATTTGAGTTGGTGACAGTGAAACTAGCACATGGTAGCTCTGTGAGTGATTTTCACTATTCAAAAGGCTATGTCGGCTTAATGATGGGAATTAGAGTCCTTATCAAGCAAAAGAAGATTCAATCTTGTTTAACTTGTTTTGCTACTCTTCATGAGCTTTAGGTGAAAAATAGTTTTCGGAATCTATTGAAGGTAGCCTAAAGCAGGTAAATCTTTTAAAAGACTGCTCGCTATAGAACTACCGTGCGACGAATAATAATGCTTGTATATGTAAATTAATACATGTTATGTGTAAATGTGTTACACAGGGTGAGTAACAAAAAAAAACGAAACCCAAATGTGGGGACCATTGTTTTAGTAAAGTTCTGCATGTGTAGCACTTTCAACATCTATGATATGAAAGCTCAAATCATGAGCTTTCTTTTAGCTCAAAAATCATTGAAATCACCCATGTACTTTTCAAGTTACGGACTTTTAAACACAACCACCGTTTGAAAGTTCTGTCCACGGATCACAAAAAGATAAGTGTTCTTTCAGCAAAACGAAAACAAATCACATCGGGATGTGTGTGAATTGTTTTCGGGTTGCTGAAAGAACACACACCTTTTGTGTGATCCATGGAGAGAACTTTGAAACGGTGGTTGTGTTTGACATTCCGTAACTTGAAAAGTAGTAAGCAATTTGAATGATTCTTGTACTAAAAGAAAGCTTATGAATTGGGCTTTCATATCCTAGATTTTGAAAGTGCTACATGCAGAACTTCAATAAAAAAAAGTGGTCCTGACATTTGGGTTTCGTTTTTTTTTACTCGCCCAGTATGTAAATTTGGTTGTTACATGTTTTAGCGCCTTGAGTTGGATATGTATTTGCGATTGTCTGCACTTTATGAATTTCTCTTTTTAAAATTATTTTTACTCACGATGACGTCATCATGTAATTTTTAAATAATGAATTTTTGCACCTTTACGTTTAAATTTCTCTAACATTTAACTTTTATGGGAAAATCCAAAAATGAGCGAAAGTTGACTTTTTCTGGACATTAACAAATGTAAGGTGTTAGCTTTGCATTTTTATCCAAATTCGGCAAAATCTTGTCTTTTGGGGGAAAATCCAAAATGTAAGGGGTAAGCCTTGCATTTTTATCAAAATTGGGCAAAATGTGACTTTTTTGGGGAAAATTCAAAGTGTAAGGGGTTAGCCTTACATTTTAATCAAAATTGGGCAAAATTTGGCTTTTCCTGGACATTAACAAATGTAAGGGATTACCCTTGCATTTTTATCAAAAATGAGGAAAATTTGACTTTTTGGGGAAAATCCAAAATGTAAGGGGTTAGCCTTGCATTTTTCTGAAAATTGGGCAAAATTTCACTTTTTCTGGAAATTAGCAAATGTAAAGGGTAAGCCTTGCATTTTTATCAAAATTGGCAAAATCTTGTTTTTTTTCGAAAATCCAAAATGTAAGGGTTAAGTCTTGCATTTTTATCAAAATTTGGCAAAATGAGACTTTTTAGGGGAAAATCAAATATGTTAGGGTTAAGTCTTGCATTTTTATCAAAATTTGGCAAAATGTGACTTTTTTGGAAAAATCCAAAATGTAAGGGGTAAGCCTTGCAATTTTGCCAAAATTGGGCAAAATTTGACTTTTGGGGGAAAATGTAATATGTAATGTAGCTCTGTGAGTGATTTTCACTATTCAAAAGGCTATGTCGGCTTTATGATGGGAATTAGAGTCCTTATCAAAGCAAAAGAAGATTCAATCTTGTTTAACTTGTTTTGCTACACTTCATGAGCTTTAGGTGAAAAATAGTTTTCGGAATCTATTGAAGGTAGCCTAAAGCAGGTAAATCTTTTAAAAGACTGCTCGCTATAGAACTACCGTGCGACGAATAATAATGCTTGTATATGTAAATTTATACATGTTATGTGTAAATGTGTTACACAGGGTGAGTAACAAAAAAAACGAAACCCAAATGTGGGGACCATTGTTTTAGTAAAGTTCTGCATGTGTAGCACTTTCAACATCTATGATATGAAAGCTCAAATCATGAGCTTTCTTTTAGCCTAAAAATCATTGAAATCACCCATGTACTTTTCAAGTTACGGACTTTTAAACACAACCACCGTTTGAAAGTTCTGTCCACGGATCACAAAAAGGTAAGTGTTCTTTCAGCAAAACGAAAACAAATCACATCGGGATGTGTGTGAATTGTTTTCGGGTTGCTGAAAGAACACACACCTTTTGTGTGATCCATGGAGAGAACTTTGAAACGGTGGTTGTGTTTGACATTCCGTAACTTGAAAAGTAGTAAGCAATTTGAATGATTCTTGTACTAAAAGAAAGCTTATGAATTGGGCTTTCATATCCTAGATTTTGAAAGTGCTACATGCAGAACTTCAATAAAAAAAAGTGGTCCTGACATTTGGGTTTCGTTTTTTTTTACTCGCCCAGTATGTAAATTTGGTTGTTACATGTTTTAGCGCCTTGAGTTGGATATGTATTTGCGATTGTCTGCACTTTATGAATTTCTCTTTTTAAAATTATTTTTACTCACGATGACGTCATCATGTAATTTTTAAATAATGAATTTTTGCACCTTTACGTTAAAATTTCTCTAACATTTAACTTTTATGGGAAAATCCAAAAATGAGCGAAAGTTGACTTTTTCTGGACATTAACAAATGTAAGGTGTTAGCTTTGCATTTTTATCCA